ACTTGTGGCCATGGAAGGTTTGCTTTCTTTGTTTGATGATTGATGATTCTTGTAATTAGTGAATAGCAATTGAAATTTGAATTTCAGTATAGAAATATTGAAAATTTTGGAAAGATAAAATATATGAAGTTGAGGAACATTCACATTTAATGATTGTTAACTTTCAGTAACTTTTATCCTGGAAAGTTTGTGGTTATTGTGTAATGGCATTTGCTGACTTAAATATTGCGTTAAGTTTAGCAAAGATTAATCTGATCTGCCTTTTCAATTCTTGACCGTGAATTTCATGCAGCATTATTAATGTTGTCTTGTTTGGTTTAGATGATGCTGGTTTCTACTGTGTTTATATGCTTCATATTAACTTATAGAAGAACAGATTTTTTTTTTTTGTTTGAATATCACCAAGCCGTCAAGAAACTTTGATCTCATTGGTGATTCGATGCTAAATTGTCAGGTTTGTGAGCTGAATCGTTGGTTAGTGTTCTTTCCCTGTTATCCACAAGCTGCTGCATCTTTATAATGTTAAGATACTGCTTTATTTCATTATGTTTTGCACTTTTAAGATTTCTGACCTAGTTCCCTCTATTTGTCTCAGAGCCATTCTATGGTACAATTTGCTTATACAACAGGGAGAGAAGAGAAAAATTGTCAGAAGATTTCTATTTTAGCATTCTACCAACTGAAATGCAGGATGTAAGCCTTAAAACTAATTTAGCATTAAATTCTTTGGTGCTTTGGTTTTTCATATTGATGACTTAAAAATCCACTCTTTCTTATTTACCTGGACAGACTAATAAAGTATCTTCAGAACCTCATGGACTTTTCTATTTAGATGCTCCGTCAGCATCTGTGTGTCTACTAATCCAATTAGAGAAGCCTGCAACAGAAGAAGGGGGAGTGACTCCTTCTGTTTATTCATGTAAAGAACCTGTATGTATGAAGAACTTATATGTTTCCATTTTGTTTATCTTCAATCTGACCTCTGATTAAATGTGACAATTTCTCTTTTGTTGGCTTGCTTGTTACCTGACAGCAAGATTTTTACCTGTTGGCTTGCTTATTATCTGGCGGCAAGAATTTTAATTATCGGCCCCTCATCATCTGTCTTTCAATTGGTTTTTACTGTAGTTCTTACTGTGGAAAATAATGGCTCTGCATCTGCTAGATAAGTTAGCTAATCATTGGCATTGCAATTAATGCTCGATATTTTAGTTTTTGGGCCAGGGTGATTAACCATTAGCTGAGATGGTGGAGCATTTGATCTTTCTTTGACAGCAAGATAATTGTGAAATTAGTAATTCTTCAGTGGATCTTCATCCATATTCATTCATCTGTGCTCCTACTGCTACATATTACCATACTTTCTTTTAGCTATGCTTCCTTACAAATTATAGATGACTTCTATTTTGCTTGCATTGATCCTTTTGTTACTCTAATGTTTTGGATCAGTTGATTATGAAATTGTTTCTCATAGGTGGTTAGAATTCAATGTTTTGGTACGTCTAGTAGGAAGGGATGTTTATTTCTCCAAAATATTAATCACTGGAGTTTGGTGAACGTTGACATTTTAAAAGATGAGAGAACACAAAGCAATAAAAAAACCTGGCGATGCAGCTGTTGTGCATTTGAACTTAAATTGTTACATTGCACGCTAAGTGTTCTCATTTTAGTGAAGAGATGATTAGGAAAGTCTATAAATAATTTAAACTATGTCAGTTGAGAATTGTTGCATTTGTGAGGCAACATAGTTTTGGCTATTGGAATATGAGGGTAGATCTTCAGCCACTAATGTTGAACTGAACATCAAGTTTGTTGTAGGACACTCTTAATATTTTAGAGTTGATGAAAGCTCGGGGAAAATAAATATAATTTTGATTTATTTTAGTAGCTGTATGATTTTTGACTATTGTTATTGCTTAATGGTAATCATTTCTATCTTCTCCTTAACAGGTGCACTTGACAGAGAGAGAAAGGCAGAAACTGCAGGTGTGGTCTCGAATTATGCCTTACAGAGAGTCCTTCGCCTGCGCTATTGTTCCTTTGTTTGATAATAGCATTGGTGGAGCTTCTGGAGGATCTGCTTCTCCTAGTAGTCGTCTTGCTCCCAGCATGTCTGGGTCTAGTTCCCATGAGGGTGTCCTTGAGTCTGTTGCAAAGATTACATTAGATGGGAAGATGGGTTATTCAAGCAGAAGCTCTATTGTTGTTGAAATATCTAACTTGCATAAAGTGAAAGAAAGCTATACTGAGGAGTCACTTCAGGTATAATGGACATCTAACTTGCTCTATTTTATTTGACATTCTAGTTGATTTCTGGCTTTTATATTCTATGGTTTGCAAAGAAAAGTTGAAGACTAGTTGAAGTCCTTCATTTCTTCCATCCCTATATGCATAATTTTGATTGCTTATAAGGTTTAATGGAGTCATTACATGCCGATATAAACTGGCTGAAGGTATGTTTATGGAGTCATCCTGCACCAATGCCAATAGGAGAAGATGAGGACGAGGTAGAGGGTAGGGGAGGCTATGGAAAATGGGCTTTTTGCATGTCAAATGTAATTATATGTCAATGAGTTAGCTGAGCTTTAGAAGGTTTCTGTTCATTTAGAGCTTTACATTTTTTGTGAAACAAATAATGATGTAATTCTAACTCGTGAACCAAAATTTGCTTTCAACTGGAGGTTGTACTGATCAACTTATGGAATACTACATCAAACGATACAATTTTATAACATTTCTTATCTGCCTTTGTGATTAAGATATCTTCGCAGATAAGAGGCATGGAGGGGGTCATTTGTGAAGTATTTGAAAATATTGTCATGTTATACCTTGACTTTAGCAAATGTGCATGCATTTGACTGATAAGTGCATGGGAGCTAATGACCCTCAATGACTGTTTGTTTGGCAGAGCTTATTCTTCAACTTGTT